TTCGCCTCTTCATTTTTCCTGTCATTACGGGCTCTCAGAGAGGCCGGAAAAATCAGTGCCAGTCGCACACAGTGGCAGTGTTTTCGCCCACAGTGATGGGAGAGTTTTAATTTTTTCTAAATACAGTTGTTTTTGTTTTTCTCCAATAGTTGTCCCAAACTCAAGATATTACTCTTGAGACTTGGAACATAGTAAACTTCTGAGATTTATTGGTGACTTCCATCTTTAGTAAGGATTAGTATCTTACCTTTGTCTTCAACCCTTGCTCTAGCATCATCTCTAAACATCACGTAGCCTTTGGCTAGTTCCACGTCTACGAACAACCTTTTTTCCGCTGTCATGTGGTTACTCGCAGCGGAGTAAATATACCACGTCTTCTTCTCTCCTTCATCTTCGTGTCTCGCCATTAAGAGAGTGAGTTGAACTTCATCTTTAAGCTCCATAAGATTTGCTCTCTCTTTTACTAGACTAGACCTTCTACATTCACTTGCACAATGACCATATTCTTGGGAATTAAAGCATCGGATTTGAGATTTACCTCTTTTTTGAAACTTCATACCTCTTCCACAACCACTTGTAGATTGAGAGCCTTGGTTGTTGTCCTCTTTGTTGGATTGAACATAGCCACCTCGAGCTCTTCCTTGTCCAAGGCCTCTGCCACGTCCAAAGCCTCCATCTCTTTCTTTGGAAGAGAGTTTTGTGAAGAGGGCTTGCTCCAAAGATTCTTTGGGCCTCCTCTTCTTTAGTTTCTCTTCATGGGCTACGAAAGTGCCTATGAGTTGATCAATGGTCATGGAGTCTAGCTCTTTTGACTCCTCTATGGCCACCACAATATAATCAAAGCTTAGTGTCAAAGAGCAAAGAATTTTTTCTATCACTCTTATGTCACTCAAGCTTTCTCCATTCCTCTTCATCTCATTAGAAACTTTCAAGACACAAGAACAATAATCTGAAACGGATTCGAAGTCCTCCATTTGCAAAACTTCAAATTCTCCTCTAAGAGTTTGAAGACGTACCCTTTTCACCTTCTCAATGCCTCTATTAGCATTCTCTAGAATATCCCAAGCCTCCTTTGAAGTAGAAACATTTGCCACCTTCTAGAAAACAGAATCATCTAGACATTGATGGATGAGTGAGAGAGCTTGTTGATCCTTCATCATTGCTTTGTTGAGTTCCCCCCTTTGGGCAGGAGTCAGAGATGCTTCATCTAGAGGTTTCTCATAACCTTTCTCAACAATCACCCACACTTCATGAGAGCCCAAAATCGCATTCTTCCGAATGCACCACTTACCATAGTTTTTTTTTTGGTAAGTTGAGGGAATTAGAAAGAGATCATTCCACTTGCCATCTTCCTTCAAAGCTGGATCAACCTCAGCTCTAATACCAGTTTGTTAGCAAATGAACCCTTTGGGTTATAAGGAAGAGACCTTTTAGATGATAGGTTTAGGAAGTGGAAATGGAAGAGAAGGAATTTTTGGGAGAAAGAATGGTTTACTACTTTGTAGTGAAAGGAAACAGAGTGGATTGTATTAAGCTTTTAGCTTAAAGTGACGCACAACTTCTCAACACACACTTACATCAAGGGGGTTCACTCCTATTCATAGAAGTGCATGGAAGGTTCTACACTCTTTCAAAATTTTTCTACTCCTTCTAAATATTTACATATTTTATTCTAATATCTAGATTTGTCTTTACTAACATCTAGATATTTCTTCTAGATATTTTTCATGGATTATTATACATACTCTTGATATTTATCTAGAACATTTCTAGAACTTTCTATCATTTTCTTATCCAGACAATTCTTCATTGAACTTGAGCTTAGGGTTAAGCATAAAGATTCATAGTCCAAGTTAATAATTTGGATAATCCAATATTAATTGGACCAAACTAAGTTTACTTACTAACACTCCTTCCACTTGAAAAACATTAGGCTCTGTTTGTTTGCATGGCATTGGGGGGTTGGATTTGGAATTTGGGCTCCCAATGCCAAATCCGGTGTTCGGCTGTCCAAAAATAAGATGGCATTGGTATTGGCCCAATGCCAAAAGGCTCTCAATGCCATAATTTCAATTTCGGGCTTGAAGCTATTATTTGGGATTCCAAACTCTTGTGGAGTTCAATATTTGTTTAACTAACCATCTTGCTTAGTTGCATTCTCCCATTCTTATTAAGTTAGAACGTGCAAAATGCTTGATATGTGGTTAGGTAGCTGTTCAATGTTTGCAAAAGACTTGATGTTTGCTGGCTTTTCACAATGGTTTCTAAACTTAAATTGTGATATAACATGTGTGTTTCAGCAACAACTTGGCTTTATTCAATTCTGTTATGAGATATTGCAAAATTTACGCTGTCGGTGAACCTTTCACCCCATCCTTATCTTGAGTTTAGAGCTAGGAATGGAAGAGTTGGGACTGGCAACTACACCCAAAAGCCCAAGCAGGCGAAGTTTGTGATATAGCATGTGTTATGTGTAGAAGCTTTTTGCTTCGGCTTTTTGGGTGCGCATTACCAATGAATAGGGTCTTTAGGCTTGTGGTAGATTCCAAGCTGAATATTTTATTTGTCTTCGGTACTAGAAATATTGAGTAACCAAGCAGGATTATCATATCCTAATGTGATAAATTTGTTTTTGTTGTTTTTCGCTATTTATAGGTCGGTCACGTGCTACCTTGCAGACCTCCAGTGTCACAGAGACGTGAAGAAATCCTCTTTAAGAAATTGTCAAAGTGGTTACTAGCTAAAGCCGCATCTGGCTAGTAAGTTCATTAACTTCTTAAGTTTCCTCTCTAAGTAATGATAGGATTCGCAGCCTGCTTGCTTCTCTTATCTTGCAATTTGCATCTCGTACTCGGCCCTTAGTCAAATTTAAATGATTTGAACCTTTGGTGGTGTTTTAAACATTTCTTAGCAAATGTTATTGCTTTAAGCCTTTCAATACCTTTGATATCTCTTCGTTTGGTTGTTCCTGTAGGAGTTTATTCTTGGATAATATTTGGCTTTAACATAGAGTTTAATAATTTATTTTGTTTAAATGTTGTAGGATATATTTGTTTTCTGTGGAAAGTCTATGGATTCTTTACTTGATGAGAATCCTAAACCTACCATCTAAAAACTAGCAAAAATCATGAATGACATGATCCAGATTTGATCATAGAAAATATTTCCTAACAGTGGAAAGGAGTTACACTGTATATTCTGACCAAAAAATAGCTATGTGATTCATCTCCTCAATCACATTTAAAAAAGGCTTTGTTAATTTCATGTGTTTCCATGTTAAATAGGTAATACTTCAGGCTTGTCGCGCCTTTTCTTTTGTCCCCTTAGTGAAGTATCTTGACTTTTCTGGTGGGTGTTCTAAATAATTTCTTTAGGCTTGTGGTAGATTCCAAGCTGAATATTTTATTTGTCTTCAGTACTAGGAATATTGAGTAACCAAGCAGGCAAAGTACATACCTAACCACAAATCATGAAGGACATGGAAATTGCAAGGTGGGAGTGCCTTGGTCAAGTTTTAGGTGAATGCATTTTCTGTCTATCATTTGGCTGAGAAAGGGCAGGTTTTGACATGTTAATAGATAGACTTTGGTATCCCCCAATTCAACTATTTCCCTTTAATGATCACTGAACATGACACCTCTAATTCTTAGAATGATCTTTTTTGTCTAGTTGCAAGTTTGAAGCAAGTTCTAGTTTGCCGTAGCTTTTTTATTAGTCTCTTTGTTTCTTCTTATACTCTTCTCTTCTATGGCTTAAAAGTGATGAATGGTTAGAAGTTGTAGAACATCTATGGCTTAAAAAAAAAAATTTATTTACAGGTAAATTCTCCTGATCTTTGATAATGGTGGGTGGCCTGAATATCAGCTGTAGTTTTTGGGTAAGAATGTTTCTTAGTGATCAAAATTGTTGTTGGATATTCTATCTCATCTTCAATTCCTCAATTTTGTTGTTCATGCTAATTCTGTGGACTGAATTTATGGCATCAAACTGTTGAAATTGGAAATTACTGGTGCTGCTTCCTTTCCTTTCTCTGCGTGTATGTGTGTTACATTGAAGGTTTTGCTCTGGATTTTCCCTATTTGTTTTTCCCTACTATAAAGTTTGTTGTGTTCTTCATTATTGAAGCTTCAAATCATGTGGGTTTAGGGGAAATATGGATAATTTCCAAGTGGTCATAAGCAGTGATATATTTTTTTCAGTTTAGTTGTCCCCTGCGTTTGTTTTTGTTTTGACAGATTTTGGCTTTATCAGTGTGTTCTTATGTGGGTTTTCAACCTTTGGATTTTTCTGAAGGACATAGAAGGAATCATGGATATATATTATTATAATCTTTGATTGATAGTCATAAAACGGTTTAGAGAAAAGAATAAATACATCATTATATGAAGAATTCCCTTCCCTTTTCTGATCCGCGAAGAATTCCTTTTTCCCTAATTTTTTGATCTAAATTAACGTTATTTTTTTGAGAGAATTATTTTGTTGTCTTTTGCAAAAAAGAGAACAGCTAGCTTTTGCATGTGTATGGTTAACTTCTCTAATTTATAGGTCCTCACTACCATCTTTTTTGTTTCTTTCTCTTGAAGAGAATCTTAAAGATATCATTCACGAAGTAGAATAGTTCTTTTGCATGAACTGAGTTGGCTCCTGTTTGTTTGCAGTTTTTTTAGGGTTTTAATTAATCTGAATTGATTTTTTTTTAATTTTTATTTTATTTATTTTATTTTATTTTTTTTTTTGCTTTTGATTCAGAAAAAGGGCAGCTGGTGACATGCTCCAAGGACATCAACTCAGAGTTATTTTATGCAGTTTTAGGAGGCCTTGGCCAGTTTGGAATCATAACAAGGGCTAGAATTGTGTTGGACAAAGCACCTACAAGAGTACGTATTCAACTTGTTTTGCAATCAAATAATAGTGATAATAACTACAAAAAAAAACATTAAAAAAAAAAGAAAAGAAAAGAAGAAAACGGGGGACTTTATAGGTCTAGGAGGACTTTATAGATGGCTTCTAATTCACAAGCAAGCTCTCAAGTGAAAGAAAAAGGAAAAGGAAACTATTTCACTTGGACTCCCGAGATGGATAAGATTCTTGGGACATGTTTTATAGATCAAATGGCTCAAGGAAACAAATGTGACGGGAAACTGGCTTGGAAGTCCTCCTCATGGACAGCAGCTATAAATGCACTTTATGTTCATCTAAAAGTTAATGTAGACAAGAGCAAAGTCCAATCTCATTTGAAGACATGGGCGAAGCACCATGAGATCTTGTATCCGTTATTGGTCTCCAGCAATTCCGACTCTCCAATCACATGGGACAACATGAAGGGCAGAATTGCAATCCAGAATGAAAATGTTTGGAATGAGCGACTGCAGGTATTTTTTTCCTCCCATTTATGCATTTTGTGTGATGTAAATGTGTCAATAGTTGGTGCAGGAGCCTTGTTACTCTTTATGTTGTATCCATTTATATGTACTAAAATAATAAAGTTGCATCACTCATGCCTTTTCAGTGTCCTTTCCTAGAAGATGAGACTGTCGTGTGTTGTATTATGAAAATCTCCAGTATTAACCAATGCAATAATGGTTTTCTTTCTAATTTACTTTCCAATTAGAAGCTAAAATTGTCTCTAATACTGGTATAGTAGAGATATCATCACAAATTGTAGTAACAGTCTTCAAAGATGATCATGGCAGGATTGCAAGCCCAGTGTATACCTTGGGTTGTAAAGTTTTCTTAATCTAATTTGCTATCCCCATAGTATACCTTGGGTTGTAATGCATTTTGTGTGATTTATTCAATTTGTTATTTTGCATATTCCTAAGTTATACATTAAATTCTTATCTTTTGCATATTCCTAAGGTATTACATCATTAAGCTTCTTTTGCATTAGAGGGTTTGAAATGTATTTAGTTCTCTGTATTGATGTACAGTTTTTGTTATATAGGCCAACTCCCAACTTGCTCCTTATTGGAGCAAATTTGTGATTGAAAATTGGGATGATATTTGTGCAATTTTCTCGCAAGACCGTGCCGATGGCCAAGGGGCAGCAACTTTTGAGGAGAATAATGCTGAGAATGAGGTCAACTCTTTCAACATAGGAGATCCATCTGAAGAGATTCATAATCAATCCGAAGCTATGAGACTTTTGTTGGCCCGACAAAAGCGAAAGGAAGGCACATCTTCTGCTTGTTCTCAACGCTCGAGAAAAAAACCAACATCAACGCAAGCTCCTGATTATATGACGCAAATGGCTGCTGAGTTTAGTGGCTACATGTTGGGGGGGAGAAAAAAGACTAAACTTGTGATAGCACAAAAAACAAAGATCACCCCTCAACAAATTTTGTCAGAATTGAAGGAAATTGATTTAGATGACATGCAGAAAATCAAGGCTGTGGATATGATGATGCTCAATCGAGTAATGCTTGATACATTTGTGGGATTGCCAGTTGAGTTGAAATACAAATGGCTTATGGCCAAACTTGATAAAGAAAACTGATTGTTCAGGTAATATTCTTTCACCTTTTCTAGTTGATCCAATCTAAGTTACTGCATTTTGCAGCATCATTTCAATTCATCCCATCATGTAGTTTTGCAGGATTTGCTCTGTAAAGTTCTGGGTGTAGTGGACTTCTAGCGTCGATAATATAAAGATATCAAGATTAAGTTCGGAGTTGTGTTTTGTAGGCTTGTAGCTTCACAACGAACAAAGTTGATGATCCTTTACTTTATATCTGTTGCATTCCTTCTACTATTGTTGCTTGCTCCTTTTCTTCCCTTTTCATTTGAACTGAGTTGAATGTGTACAAGTAACAATTTTTTTGGAAAGAAGCTGTTTTTGCCCCTGTTCTTTCCAGTAGACAACCCAAGTGCAGATTCTCCTCTTGAGTCATTTCTTTATGTTAATCTTCGTCCTGTTTTGTGGACTAAAGTCATAGCTAAGTGCAGATCATACTTGATTTATGTTAATCTTCCTCCTGTTTTGTGGACTAAAGTCATAGCTAAGTGCAGTTTTTTAGCACCGTCATTCCAACAATGGCTATGGCGAATGTCGGTTTTGCGCAACACATTGTTGTGTTTAAACTGTGGAGTGGAGAGTTACATATGTGCCCCTGACATATTTTAAGCACATTGGCTTTCGCAACTCCATCCAAGTCCACTGTTTCTGTTCATCATACAATCGTAGTAGCAAATTCATCCAACTACACTCTGTCCAGCTGATTTCTTAACATTGTTTTCCCTCATTGACAATCTCACTTTCTCAACTTCATCCCAATCTCCTCTTTCTGCATAGATATTCGACAACAAAACGTAGTTTCTAGAATTGCCAGGTTCCAAACTGATAAGTTCCTTCACTGCACATTCTGCAATTTCTGTATTGCCATGGGTTTGGCAGGCGCTAAGCAGCATAATGAAGTGCAACTCTTGTTATTAATGTATTTCCTTTTTAAACAATGTCATGAAGCATGTCAATGATACTTTCCAGCAACAAGAAACTGTGTTTTAGAAAGTACCATTTTTAGTATGTGATATATGTTGCTCTGTTTTTTAGAGAGAGAAAGTTCTCATGAGATAACTGGCGAATCCACTACTGGTAGTGATGATGAGGCTCGTAAAGGACTCACTTCCAATGTCTGGAAAGACTTTAATATTGTGACGGTTAATAAAAAAGAAAAGCTATTTGTATGATTTGTGAAGCTGAATATGTTGCCGACTCAAAAGCATGGAACGACAAATTTAGCTTGGCATTATGAAACGAAACATAAGGATGTAGAAATTAGTGATGAGCCTAGATTGGTTGCTGTAAATCAGGATGTCTACAGATAGAAGATGGCAGTTGCCATTGTGCAACATGATTATTCTTTTAGTTTTGTGGAGCATAAGGCAAATCGAGATTTGCACTCTGTTTTAACAACAAAATAGAGAATTTAATTCCAACACGAAAGTGATAAAAATTGTCGAAGCAAACCAACGTAATATATATACATAAATAAGTCCAATGAGTTATAAAATACAAGTGTACGCTTTAAATAAATTTAGATTTTATATGAAAAAAACCCCAATTTGACACGCGTATCGTGATACAGTTACAGAGTCGACCCAGATCGACCCACGGTTTGACCCAGTTAAAGTTCGCTCGGAATGTGAAAATTTATAGTCAAACGAGTTTTAAAAAGTAAATATAGATTTAATTTGAAAAAAATCCCAATTCGACCCGCGTATCGTGACCTATTACTGGGTCAACCTAGTTTGACCCACGGGTCGACTCAGTTAAAGTTCGTCCGAAACGCGAAAATTTAAAGTCTAACGAGTTTTAAAAAGTAAATATAGATTTAATTTGAATAAAAATCCCAATTCGACCCGCTTATCGTGATCCGGTTACTAGTCGACCTAGTTCAACTCACGGGTCGACTTAGTTAAAGTTGGCTCAAAACGTGAAAATTTATAATCAAACGAGTTTTAAAATGCAAGTTTAAGTTAGAAAATTTTAGTTTTAAAAATTGATGTATGTTATTTTTCCAAAAAATTTAAAATTTGTAAATTCACCTAATGAAAACACAAAAATAAGATATGACCCGCGGGTTAAAAAATTATACTAGTTTAACTTGAGCAGGTTGAGCCACGGGTTGACCCGTGACCCGCGCCAACCCGTCTTGACCCAATCCGTTCTGACCCGTGCTTATGGCGGGTTGGAGTGTCTTGACCCGCCTACTCCCGAATCCACCTTGACCCAACCCGCGCCTGACCCAACCCCCCCAACTGCCAGCCCTGATTACACATAACTCTTGGTTATGGCCTTATACATAACTTTTCGTTAATGTCTTTTCATATGGAGTCAATAGACACAACTTATTTATAGTGTCCCTACAATATATTGAAATAGCCAATAGGCACAAAATATTTTAGTTGTATCCCTACAATATATTAAAAATAACTCCAACAATCCTCCGTCATTTTTAATATATTTAAAATAATTTTTAAATAGAACCAGAATAATTCTAGCGAAACACATGTATAAAATAATGGTATTGTTAGACTTGAACCACTACCTTAGTGTCGGTTTCATAACTTGTAGTACAACCCGATAGACTAGCTTTGAACCGTACGTACATGTTCCAAGCTACTATTATCAACACAGATAGGTTTCTTTCTCCTCAACTTGTCTGCACCATATCAGTGCGTGTGGTATGTAAAGTCTTGTACTCATATCTCTTCATTAATCTTACTATATATTAAAGGAATTTTTTTTAAAAGACACATATCAGTCAATTAAACCATCGATAATTTTCAAGTACACGTATCATTTTTTCATTCGTTGAGAATTTTGTATGATACACATGTAATCTTCTAATTCGTGTATTTTTTTACTGGGTGTTTTAGACAAGTAATACGGTTATTTTAAACACATTCAAATGATTATTTTCTTAAAAAAATAACTTTTTCCGAATTAGAGGATCGTCGCCGACAATCTATTAATAATTTTCAACCCATAAATATTTTTCCTGAGCTCCACTACAACCACCACCTCCTCCTGAGCTTCCAACGGCGGTTGAATTCAATTGAATCTGTGACGACGATTCCTATTTGGTCAAGGATAAGACCACGAGTATGCATACGAAATTCAACAAAATGCAAAAGGTAGAAATTCAACAAAAAATGATAAAAATTGAGAAAAAAAAAGATACTAATCAGAAACTGGATTTGATAGATTAAATTTAAGAAGAACCAGAGGAGTTGATGCTGTTGGAGCTCACGAAGGCAAATGGGGGAGGGGAAAGGGTAATTCTGGCTGTGGGGAAGGCGAAAATCGGGGGAGGGAAAGGCAAATCGCGGGAGGAGAAGAAGAATCAGATTGTGGGGAACGGAAATTGGGGGAAGGGAAAGGGTAGTTCCGACGGGCCACGAGATGAAGAGAGAGGAAAAAGAGGAGTGTAGAAAAAATGAATCTCGAAGGGGTGGCGCTGGGGAGGTAGGGTTTTTCATTTGAAATTTATAAAATTATGATTTGGCCTTAATAGTTTAAACTAGATGTTTGGCCAGACAGATGTCTGAGCGCCCCTCTACTTTAAATTTGTGTTAATAGATAAATAAATTTTTGATTTGGAAAAAATAAAATAGCTACACATTTGTTTTTTTTTTCTTTTTTTAGTGAAAAATAAAAATAAAAATAAAAAATCATCTGCCAAAGGAAAAAAAATATTGAAAAGTACAACGATTCAGAAATCATACAAAAGAATGTGGAATAATAAAGGGGATAAGTTTATGACTAATTTAAATGCTATTTTAATTTGATTGATAAATGATAAATGTTAGGAGTTAAAATTGTGTAACTATTTTTCTAAAGTAACTTTTGTTTCTCCGAATAAGATTTTTTTTTTGTCTTTTAAAAAGGGAATGACACGTGGCAGAATAGTCAATGCAATATGGTGCATTTGGAGCCAAAAAGTTTTAATAAGAAGTTGCCACATCAACATCCTGTATTCTGCTTTAATAGGGTAAAAGGGATTAGTAGCACTATGATATGGAAACTTTACATTATACTTAATTTACAATATAATTTATTTTTTATTTCATGTATATAATTTAATCTTACTATATATTAGAGGAATTTTTTTTCCAAACACATATGTCAGTAATCAGGCCTCGATAATTTTAAAATACACGTGTCATCTTTTAATTCGTTAAAAATTTTTTGTAGTACACATGTCATCTTCTAATTCGTGGATATTTTTACTGGGTATTTTATACTAACAACATAGTTATTTTAAACACAGTAATATGGTTATTTCCTAAACAAATAATTTTCTTCGAATAGAAGATAAACGCCAACAATCTCCGAATCATCAATTTGACCGGAAAAATACCTCCGACCACAAAAATCTCTGGACACGCCGATTACAGAATTAACGTCATCGCCGGTTCATCTCCAGCTAAATTTAGTCAAAGTGTAATTCGAAGATATATATATATATATATATATATACATATATATATAGTCGCTATAATAATTTTTTATTCTTTCCAAAACAGAACTGTATTTCGCTCTAATCCTTCATTTCGTTGCCGTGAAAATCATCAACGGCTGATTGTATCCTTCACTTTGTTGAGAACAGATTTTTTTTTTTCCAAATGATAAATGGAAGGCATAAGTTTGTGATGAACCGCTTCTAACTCCAGAAGGGTGTGATGGGGGTGATGATGATGGGAGGGTGGATGATGGTAAATGATGGAGTGATGGATGATGATGGGGATGATGATGATGGGAGGGTGGAAGAATATATTTTGGGGAATGGGTAGTGTATGGCCGGCTGAAGGAGAATAGTGCGGCGCGGCGGCTAAACTTTTTTTTACGTACGTGGTTATAAGTTTTAGGGATGAGTTTTAGGGCTTTTTAAATTTCTATTATCTACTTATATTAATTTCAAGTTTTCATAATTATAAAATAAAATAGATATATAAAAGATAAAGATGATCTGAATGGATAAAATTATTCAAAGATTGTATTTATTTATATTAATATTAGGTTCTGAATCCGTGCATTCGCACGGGTATGTTATAAAAAAGGCTTATAATTGTTATTATCTTAATTAAAATCATAACAAAATTATTTCTAGATAAAACTACTTTGAAATTTTTGTATTTATTTAGAAAAATATACAGATAATTTGTTTTTAAGAGATTATTGAGACTTAGACATCATAACATGAATAGATACACATATAATTTCATCATAAGTCATTTACTATTTTTGTATACAATCAGTTTTTCCAAATATGCTTTTGAGCACCGAAATAAGAATATATGTTCATGAACGGAGAAACTATATATTATTCTTTCCAACATCAAAAACTATAGCAAC